TTTATTATTATTATTTGAAATGGTTAAGAAGAATTCGCATTTGGGGAAATTTTGGCCATACTTTGCTACAGCATTAGACTTCTCTGTTGGGTCTCTTCTGCTAGAAATGTTTAGATTTGTTTTTGTTTGTGTTCTGTCTTATGCAGCTAAGAAAACAGTTTCAAATAGGACAAATTGTCTTGTTCCAGGGAGGAGGTCTGATCTGGAGAGTGAAAACAGCTTGCTACTTGGAGAGCCATCCACAAAATAACAAAGCTCTAAGGACAGGTCCCTACACTGCGCCCCACAAGAGGAACTATAGAGCCAAGATGTTGGCCTTGGGAAGCACTGCTATGTGAGACAGTCTCCTTGTTAAGTGGCTTTTTTTCCTAGGATTTACGTGCCCCAGTGCCTGGTCCTCTGGGTGCCGCTCCTTTGGGTACGATTGGCAGGGAGGCAAGTGCCTGGGGTATTCCCTTCTCCTGCTTGTAAGAAAGGGGAATCGTGTTAGTTTGTTTCACAGGGATGCTGGTGCACCTTTCTGATAGTCTTTAATAGCTGGTGCTGTAGAAGAGCAGCTGAGTTTATTTTAATCAGGTGTGCGTTTCTCCCATATTTGCGTTTTGTGTGTCACTGGCAATATAAAAGGTAGAAATGCTCATGAAAAAGCCAATGTTCCTGCACAGCATTCGTGGAAAATCAGTTCTGGATGCACAGAAGTGTGAGTTTCTTGTGGCAGTTGGATGGGGGGTTATACTCGGATGTTTAGAAAAGTGAGATGACATCATATGATCTGTACATCTTGTGAAAATGAATCAGCGCTACTATTATTAAAATATCGCCACTTTTAATGCTGCTTTGGCAGACTGGTCGTAATGAAGAATTTTAAACTTGGTGTAAGATATAAATCCTGGTAGGAAGGAACTCTAAAAGCAACAGGGATTTTGCTGCTTGAAAACCAGACTCAGTTTAGTCCAATTTCTAGCCAAAAAACCAAAGTGTGGATTCAACACTTCTAGGTTCTCAATTAAAAGGTCATCATCAAGAGGTCCAGACTCACCACATCATCAGTCTGTTTTCCAGAAAATGTCACTCTTGTCCAAAGGACAACTGGAAGTGCCTAAATGAGATGATAAAAGTGGTAAGTGTGACCTGAGCCAAGAACCATTTTGCTGTCAAAGCTTAAAAAAAAATTTTCATTAAGAAAGAAGTGTTAGAAAACGGCAGTCTTTTGATAGACAGCTCATGAGACTAAATTGGTGAAACTCTGTAGAAAGAGGAGCTGGTGGAAATTATTCTTATGTTTACACCTGAGGGAATCACCCTGGATTTATTACTACATCTTGGGCTGAGTCTGATTTATTAACTACTGTCCACTTAGGTTTCTTATCCAGGGTGGTAAACCAGCTGTAGAAAGCTGAAAAGAAGTTGAACTGCATGTCTTGTCTTTTCAGCCTGTTTCTTGTGTTCATTTTGGTCTATAAACAAACACCTCCCAGGTCTCCTAAATAGATTTTCTGATTGAGTTCCCAGAACAGACCACCACCAGTCTCATTAAAGCTTATTTATGCTACTTTCATGCATGAATAAAAAAGCTCCAATTCACTGCTGATTTTATTTAGTTAGATCCTGTGCCTTGTGGTGGACATTGAATTGGAGTGACGTTTTTGGCACCAAAAAAAAAAAAAACCAGCAGGACTGTGGAGAACAGTTTGATGCCTGCGTCTTTTGCAGTACGAAAAGGAAGGGGTTAACCTGTTCTTGGCTGTGTGGTATTGATTGAGGCCCATACAAAGAAAATACAGCTGTAAATAGTTAGGAGTATTCCCTAGTAGCTCTTTTTTGGGTTTGTTTTGGTTTTGTTTTGGGGGGGGGCAAGTCATTGACCTGGGACTCTGGAGGTACGATTTGTTTCCCAGGGATGCCATCCGCGTCTTGTGCGATAGGAGGAGGAAGGTCGCTCGTTGCTTTAGGTCTCAGCTCCCCAGCTGAGAATGATGCTTTCTCCCTCCCCTACTTTTTCTAACTTGCTTGTTTATATCGCTAGCTTTTCAGCAGAGTAACATCTACTCTGCCTGTGTGCTGATCACGATGGGTCCTGCTCTCAGCTGGGGCCTCTAGACACCACTACGAATAACAAATATGACTTTCCCTTTAGGCTTCTCTCCTTCATCTCCATCTATGCTGCAGTGCCTGTGAGGTAAGACTAACAGCTAAAATAAAATAAAAAAAAAAAAAAGGAATCAGTAAAGATGAAGAACAAGGGAGTAAAGATCCAGCAGGTGTGAAAAGTTGTGAAATGGTTTTGTTTTTCTCCAGTCCTGCTGGCTGATGATCTCATGCAAAGGTACCGCATTTTGGAAGGAGAAGGATTTCAGCCTGTCCTTTAAGTCAAAAGGGTAAACAAAAAGCAGCTTTGTATGTTTCCTTTGTGCTAAGCACATTGTGAATATTCTTAAGCATTGCCACAAGGATTAACATCTCTGCATTTTAATGTGCCTGGTGCTGGAATGTAGCTGGAAAGCAGAGCAGGCAGGAACGGTCTCTCCAGGCGGTGGGCTCTGCTAGGTGTCTCTTTGAAGTGCTATTCAATAGCTTTCTGTAACTCTTTCTCCCCCCCACCCCTCCTTTTTCCCCCCCTCCTTCAACAACTTCTGGAACAAATCCTGACAGATTTCACCTTTCTGAAATTTACTGGACTGTTTTATTTCCAAAAACTTTTGCATGTCAGTAGTATTAAAAAAAAAAAAAAAGCATGTGGACAAAAGTATGGAGTTTGGTATTTACTTTGGATCATTAACCTGGTCTGTAAATTTGATTTGATCTCTCCTTTTTTTGTTCCTCCCCCCCTCTTTGTGTAATTTCAGAGCCCGCAAAGAGACGCCGTCTTTTGCTGCTTCGGGATCCCAGCAAGAAATGGGAGTCTGATGGATTGTAAATGCCCCTGCTTTGTTTAAAACCCAGCCAAACAGATAAGTGCCCTTTTAATTATCTCACAACGGCATTTTAGACGTAGCTGTGCACAACATCGCTCTTCAGTTCGGTTTCAATTCGGTGAGCCCTCCGTGCTTCACCATTGCAAATGAATGCTCTGCGGTTCTCCTTTCGGCTGACAAATACCAGATGATATCGGTATTTCTCGTGAGCTAATTAATTAGTGTCTGAGGGAACTGCAGCTGATGGCTCGGGAAGCTCCCGGTGGTGTTTCCATGCCCCTCTGGAGCCACCGTCTCCAGCAGCCCTGTGAGGTTTTGGGACTCTGAGGAGCAGCTCTGCGAGACCAGACGAGGCTGATGTGACCCATCTGAGTCTTAAGGAGCCCTCCGGGACTCATTAGAGGTTTAATAACTAAACTTGGCTGGTTTGATTGAGAAGATGCTTGTGTAGGCTTGGCGTGATCTCAGAGAAACCAGCTAACGCTGCTGGCAGGAGAGGGGGGTTTCTGCATATGCTATTCATATGTGTGCGGAGAAAGTGATAACCCCTGCTTCTTCCTGCCGGTTTCCAGGTGGGAAAATAGCCAGGGACAGGGGAGAGAAGCCCTTAGTTATACTGAGTTTATACAGAGCATACAAAGAGGGACTGTGGGCGAGTGGTAACAAGAATTGTCGCCTCAAAGTTATGGGGACATTTATATCTGTGGATGGCAAATACAGACTGTCAAGAAAATAATTTCTGGCTGCTTAGATCTGCTTCTATAGGTGACCGCTGCCTGCTCGTGGACACACCACTGCAATTATTAAGTAACTTAAGAAATCCATAAAATATGGTCTCATGTACAGTGTAACTTTGCAACAGTATACAGCCATGGGGCTGGGGCAAATATTCACTATGCCTGCAATTTACTGCATTAGAATAATGACAAAACCACTAAAGCCGAGCATGTGAGCATTGGAGGGGATGTGTGACGGGACGGGGGACAGGAGCCAAATTATCTACTCCAAACCCATCTTGGCTGCGCTATCAGGGTTAATTAGCAGTGTAAAATGTCTGTCTTGCTGTTAGGAAAACTACAAACAGGTTTGCTACAGCAAATTAGACTGTAGTAACTGATGTGAATTCGTCTTACCTGCCTAAGCAGAAGGTGAGTTTTGTGGTGAAGGCGCCAGCCTAGGACTGAGAGAGAGACTGGAGAGAGAAGACAGTGAAGTAGGACGTTACTGCAGCACGAGAGAACTGGATCTAGACCAACTCATGTGATCCCTGGAGTCTCTGAAGTTCCCTCTTTTCTAGGAAAAAACTTCACTCCTGCTGTTATTACCAAGAAAGTTTGTATATTAATAGAAGAAATGACATGTCTGATATTAATGACTATGCTCTGTCTTACAATTGTAAACAGTACTTATTCCTGACTCTTCAATACTCTGATAGCAAAAAGGCTTGACAGTTCATTAAGAAATGCTGATAAAATGAAGCCCTAGTGAGAAAATCAGGGTTTGTTCATTCAGCAAGGCTGGATAGGAAGTTAAAAAAGCTTAAATCATCTGTGTACCCCCACTAACAGAGCTATTTGCTCCTCAAAAAAAAAAAAAAAGAAATTTTAACTTCAGAGATCCTCAAGGTCTTGATTATTAGGTTTGCAACTTGAAATCTGCTTTCTGCCAGCATGCTGATATCATTGTTCTCCCAAATTAGGTCCCATTAAATTAACCCTAACTTGGCCAGTTTCAGTCTGGGCATCAAAGCTGAATTTGGAAATCATATCCTGAAGTGCGGCATGCAACTTGCAATGCTCTGTGCTCCTTGGCAGAAGAGACAGAAAGCACAGTCCCTCTCAGGAGCTGTACTGATGTGAGAGATGATACTGAGTGTGTTATATGCACCTGTGGTTTGGCTGGTGCATCCAGCACCTGAGGCGAACAGATTCAAGGGATCTTGACAGGTTCCTGCAAAAAATCTTGTCCAGAAAAGAAGACCCCTGAATCCCTAACACTTTCCTCGTCTTACAGGTGAGCCTTGAAGACACTTGGGAGACCGAAGCTCCTGAATGCATGACCTTCCCCTGGGATTAGAAGAAAGCCATGGGAAAAGACAAGAAAGAGGAGGAGGCCGTCTTTCTGAGGAAAAAGATAACTTTGCTGCGGGCTTTCTCGCTCCTCATCGGCAGCATGGTTGGCAGTGGCATCTTTATCTCCCCAAAAGGAGTACTGAAAAACTCCGGCAGTGTGGGTTTCTCCCTGGTTGTCTGGTTTGCCTGTGGGCTTCTCTCAATGTTTGGTGAGTGGTGAGGTTTGTCAGCCTTTGCTTAAGCACTTGGGAGGTGAAGGGAGCCAGCACATTTTTACGTGTAGAAAGTTGGGAGAAGAATAAACCAAAAATTCCCTGTTCCTACTGCAACAGAAACAAAGGTTTAACAAGCCTGGGGAGGGGTCACCAGGTGTCGGTAGTTCAAATTATTCCCCCAGGGTGATTGAGAAAATCCCAGCACTTATGGTCTGTGAATATGAAATCACGTGCAAGTCCAGGGCAGAGGAGTGACGATGACTGCAGATGGAGATAGCAGGGTCTCTGCCAGGAAAGCTGGGAGAAAATGGATGGACTCATTCCATAAGGTGGAAGGGAGGTGTAGGCATCTAAAAGGCACTTGTGAGTCTGAGGGCTGTGCAGAGCTTTTCATAGACACTGTGAAAGGGGCAAGAAGTGACAGTCTTAATATGCCATAAGGGATCCCCTTTCTGTCGGTGAGGATAGAGAAGCACTAGAGCAGATTGTCTGGGGAGCTGCAAAATATCCACGAGCCAGGGGTGGGTGTCTGGGTGTCTGTCAGAAATGGTTTGGATACGTCTGATGCTGCCTGGGAGCAGGAGACGGAGCGAATCAGTTCAGCCCTGCTTTCTGTGCGTTACCCTTGGCTTGGTTTCTGGCACTTAATACCAGTTTTTTCTCACAAAGGGTTGTCTTTTTGATGACAGATTCATTCTAGTTCTTCTGAAATAATGTAGCTCTTAAAGTTACAATGGATAAGACGTATGGCTTTTAGTTTTCCTGCATTAACAGTATGAAATCATCATCTCAGAAATGCTCTAAAGGTGCTTTTAGGAGAACTGCAAGGTCTCTCAGCTCTGGGGAGAAATCTCACGTTTATTTCAGTGGGTGACTTTGAAGTTCTTCTTCTGTCATAACAGAAAAAAAAAACAAGAAAGGAGAAATACTCCATGTGGAAAAAAAATACTTTGGCACTGAGACATGTACACGCAAGTTTAGAAATTGAGACATTCAATTGTTAATATGGCAACAAGTGTGGTGCTTGCTCTTAGCGTATGCATGCCAATATTTGACGTTGCAGCATATGTGTGGTTGTTTGGTGAATGACATACTTTTGCTTAAAGAAAATCTTAAAATATAATGTGAGCACGGTGTTTCTTTTAAATAATAACGCAATAAATGATATGTGTGGGCTGATCACATACCCCAAGTTCTGCATTTGGAAAGGTTTCTCTCTGTGTTGCATCCTTTGATAGACTCTGCTAGAAGGGCCATGGGAGTCACTTTATCAAGTTATTGTGTTTTGTAGCCAAATTTGTTGGTTTGCTCTTCTTGAGCTTGATGACCTCCCCTGATCATTTCTCTGACACTTTTTTGCAGTACATTAAAAAGGCCTGCTTTCTTTTATGCTTTTTTCCTTTCAAGTATGGCATTTATATGAGTCCCATAGCATGAGTTCAGCAAAGCACTTAAATGCAAACTTGAAGCATGTAAAGAGACCCACTGGAATAAATGAGACGAGGTGTCTGCCTATATTTGACACTTTGAACAGGGATTCTGCCAACAGAGAGGCAGGAAAAATTGAGGTCCTCACCATCAGCATGACCTGAATATGGCACTATCGCCACGGGACTTGGAGGCATGGCCATGTCACCACTGGGTTCCTTTGTGGTCTCCCTTCACAGCCTCCTGAGCCGGCCAAAGAAGTAGATAGCACAGCTAGAGATGTTCTTACCCCACACGGTCACATCCCAACAGCGCTCAGCCCCATTGCAAGAAGAGTTTTGCTCAAAGAAGTGAAGTGTTTTATGATTTCTGTTGGTGAGCAAAGGATGTTTAACCTAGCAAGTGAATCCAGTGTAGGCAGGGCTTAAGATTCGTACTTAGACACGTTCAAATGGCATGATGAATTGCTCTGTAGAGAAAACACAGACGGGATTTTTTTTGGCACAGGCAGAGGCATAAAGATTTCTATCCATTTGCCTGAAAGTTTTAAGCTGTCTTCCCTGGCACACCTCTCCCAGGGTTTCTCGTTGTGCCCCGGCACAGGGAGGCACAGAGGCGCTTGCCAAGGCAGGAGCAGGCAGTCCCCAGGTCTGCTCGTACATGAACACCTGGGAAGAGACAGACTGAGCCTCTCATGTGGGCGCTTCCCTTGCTCTGCACCATCGGGGCGGTGTTCGCCTCCGGTGGCAGGTCTTCCCTCCCAGAGGAGATGCCCTTCCACGTCCTCTGTCCGGTGTCTTCGAACGAAGGAAGGGATCTATGTGGAGATGCAAGATAAGGACACAGGAGCATGGTCTGTGATCAAAAACATGATTGAAATGACCAGTTCAACCACTGCCTGTCAGCTGAGCTGCTGTAACTGCCTTGTAAGCACCATTTCACCAGTCCAACTGTGAGGAGAAGTGAGAACCCAAACCTCCAGCATGTTTTTCAAAGGAAACCTCTTGTAGCTTAGTGCAACATTTCTATCGCACACCTTTCAGCATAACTTCCATGGAAAACTTGTATCATTAACCAGAAAATAGGGACTTTCTTTCTGACAGAAAAGTCAATTACTTCAAAATTTACTTCAAAACACTGTAGCACACAAAAATAGGGAAGAGTGGTTCTGCTAAACCCCTTTTTCTTCCTCTAATTCACTACTTATTTTAAACAGATTCATTCAATCCCTGAAAAGTCACACAGAAAAGAGAAAATCCATGGGATAATTTACTTAGTGCATTTCTACCTGAACTTTTCCAGGTGCCTTGTGTTATGCAGAGCTTGGAACAAGAATCACCAAGTCTGGAGGACATTATATCTACATTTTGGAGACATTAGGGCCTCTGCCAAGTTTCTTGTTTCTGTGGGCAGAGTTTTTTGCTATCAGGTAAGAGATTTTGTTTGCCTTTTGCTGGATGTTGTGACAATTTAAAAAAACAAAAATTACAGTGCCAGGTAACAGTCTGGGGAGTTTGTGAAGGAAAGAGTAGAAACAATCTGAACAACTTTTAAAGACTTTCAGTGATAAAGGGAAGAAGGCATAAGGAGTAAATAGTTACACATGTTCAATATGATCTGCACTTGAAGAATCTCTCTCTTCTTCCCTGGCAGCTGGTATCCTCCCAGAGCCATGGTATTTTTCAGACACCTACAACAGATGCCAGATTTATTTCAGATCTTCTGTTTTCACAGTGAAACTTTTTCGGTTTTTCCTGTGGAGACAACTTTCTGGCTTAGCCCTAAGTTAAATAATATTTTAGAAAATTGTAAATGACTTCTTTCTTAACTTTTAAAAAGAAAGTCCTCACCTCTCAATAACCTGTGTCCTTCATGTAAGCTGAGATGAAGCAGGACATATGAACCACACTGCATTGTTCAGTATGATTAGTCTCAACTTTTGCTTTCCAGTTGGGAATTAATCTTTTTGCAGCATGTGATTTTTAACCCATTTATTTGAGAAAAACCTATGAAAAAGACTCTACGGGAATTCACTGTCTGCATGGGAGAGCAGGATTAAGCTGGGTGGGGCAACTTCCCTCCCCCCCCCTCCCGAGTTTTGTGCAGTTTTACATCATGCCATTTTTCGTCTGTCCGCAGACCACAGTTTGTTCTTGGTTCTCCCCCCCCAGGCCTGCCAACAGTGCTGTGGTTTCTTTGGCATTTGGACGCTACATGCTGGAGCCATTTTTTGCCCCCTGTGCAGCCCCTGTGCCTGCTGTGAAGCTTGTGTCTCTCCTGGGGTACTGTAAGTAGTAACTTTTACAGGACTGCCGATCTCGGAGCCTCTCTGCCCCAGACCAGGGGCACTTACGGGGTGTTATCTCCTGGGATAACTGTGAGATCAAGGCCCCGTCTTACCTCCTTGGCCACCCAAAACTTCCTGATCCAAGGTGCTGGTTTGGGGCCACTCTATTCTCCAAGAAGGGGAATGGGCCTCCCTGTTGACCAGCTGGAGCCCTAGTGGGGGGGATTGTGCCAAGTACGGCGGTAGAAACTCTTCATGTATAATTGTACAAATGCCACCTGGGTTAAGGGTGTAAGGCTCAAGGTTTTGGACTCCTCGCCTGGTGCACCCAGCCTGTGAAGCTGTCCTGCCTGCTCCGGGCTGGTGTGTGCTGGGACAAGGGAGCACTGTGAAGGAGGCTGCTGAGACATCCCTGCAAACTCATGCCTTGCCCCCAGGCAGGCGTGGATCGCCCAACAGGAACCAGGCTCCTGGTCCCTCTTAGGAGCATAACTCAGCTCCCCCTTCAAACGCTGTACACTGGGCCACACCTGTAATGTTTTCTGACATATCTCACCTTGAGCATCCTCTCTGTAAAGATGCAGCCTTCTCCCTGGCATCCCTCGAGCAGGGAGCGCTGCTATATTTTTTTCCTGCATGCGTCAAGCATGGGCTACAGCTGCAGTGGTGTGGTCTCCTCTCCAGACATGGTCCTCACCCTCAATTCCTGGAGCGTCACCTGGAGTGCCCGGCTGCAGATGGCTCTCTCCATCGTCAAACTCCTGGCTCTTGCACTCATCATTGTGCCAGGGATGATGCTGCTGGCTCAGGGTAGGTGTGCTGCTGCATGGCTGAGGGAGGGTGCTCGGCATGCCCGCCTGTCACGGCCTTTGTCGGTCCCTAGTGACAAGTGTGGTACTCCTTTAGCTGGCAGGAGCTTTCTCTGCCTATGTGCTGGATGTGAATTAGCTGGGAGCTGAGACCAGGGCAGTTGACACTAAGCTGCATCATTGCACTGGCTGATGCAACTGGCTCAGCTGCGCTTTCTCCAAAATGGAGCGAGGCTCAGTGCCTGAGGCTGTGTGAGCCTACCCAGGGTCATACAGGCACCTTCCCCTGCAGATGGTCTTTCTTTGGTGTCAGACTTGCCTGTTTTCAGCGTGGCTTGAAATCCTTCCAAAGCAGCACAGATTTGATGGACATCAGGGATGTGTGACAGCATCCCATGGTGACCCGAGCCAGTCACAGCTGTGTAATGAGTTACTAACCCTCAGCTGAGCCCTGGTAACTGCATCGTTAACCTTTCCGTGGCTTAAGCTAATGTTTTTTACCTCCTAATTGAGATGGGCAGTAACTTAGTAAATTTACAATGGACTCGTGTGGGATTGCACACTCGCATCCAGAGTGGGGGAAAAAAAACCTACCAGTAGTATCTTCTGGGAATGATACAAGAGCATTGGCTTTAATCCAAGCCTCAGTTTATAGAAAAGCTCAAGGCATTCCCACTCAAGGGATGAAGCCTGCTCCCTCTTCATGCTATTACCTTCCTCTGCAGAGAAAACAACACAGGCAGTAGGCTCCACGTTCATGTTTCTTTCTGATGTCTGGAGCTGGCTCCTTTGAACATGCAAAGATCCCCTCCGGCTGGCAGCACTTCTGAACTGAAGGACTGCCCTGCAGCCAGAAATCCTGAGCCATTATTGTTAGGAATGCCTTCAAATGACAATCTGGAACCTTGGCACACGTCCTCAGCGAGGAGGATAAGTGCCGGTGACATCTGGAGGGAGAATTCACCCAGAGACCCCAATATGACAGGTTGTATTTAATGTGACTCATGGGGGACTGTAAATCACTCATTAATGTATTGCAGACAATAAATCCTTTTTATGCACCATCACTTACCAGCAGTCATTTTAGAACATAAAAAGACTACCCCAATAGGCCCGCTCCGATATTTTGTTTTGGTTTTCTTCAAATCTATTTTCTCTTTGACTTGTTTTTTTGTGTTTAAAAATCGGTTTTGTGCTTTTAAATCAGTTTGCCTGATTCCCCTGCCTTATTCCACTTGTTTTGGTTACACTCTTGTCCCTTCCTCTGCCATTACCTTCCTTTTGGCCTAGGTTTGTTTTAGAGACTTGCTGGGCCAGTGTTTCAAACCCAAATGCCCAAATCTCATCACAGAGTTCCTTGCAGAGTCGCCTCCGTAGAAGTGGCCTGACTTTCTCCACAGGATCTGTGCCATTTCATCCCTTTCCTGGTGAAGCCCAACTAGGCAAGCTCCGCATCTTTTACTTTTAATGAGACTTTGATATGGAGAACTGAATATAGATGTGGAACCAAACCTTGGGCCATCTGGATTTGAAAATGTTGAACATACAACTCCTTTTGACTGTGTTTTTTATTCGTTTTCCTCTGAATGAGAGGCCATTAGGTGTTTCTCCCTCCCCTAGGTTTTTTTGGAGTTTGATAAAATGTGGTTTGTATCTAAAATCTTGACACTGATGTTGTTGTTGTTATTTCAAGCAGAGAACTTTTAGGAAAATTGGGGGAGCTGGTAAAACGGGATCTCTATCTGAGCCACCTCTACTTTTTAATTTTATTTGCTTTGCCCTCTGTGTCCTCAGTTCCTCCTCCTGCGGGCGAGCCACGGTGGCTGGCAAGGGCGGCGGGCAGGGAGCATGCCCAGAGCTGGGGGCCAGGCTGGCGGTTCCCGCTGCCTCCTCCGCCCCGGTTCCCATGCTCCAGCCAGCGTGGGGCTGGGGTCACTGCTCCCGCAGCGGGATCAGGAGGGAGCACAGCGAGAGCCGAATTAGCCGCCTCGCTGGCTGCACCACATCAAAGAGGAGTGTGCGTTCAGCTGCTCAGGGGGCTGGGGCGGGAAGAGGGGCATCAACCCGGCAAATTAATTTTAGGCCTAAAGAAAGAACAGGACATCTTGTGTCCTCTCGTCTCCACGATCTCCCATTCCCACAGCAAGTTCTGTCTGAAACAGAACCAGCCGCTGCCGTTGCCCTTCCTGAAACGTCTCCTGTAGCTGGACAGGGGACGGATTTGTTCTGTCACTGTTAGTGAAGTAAACGTGTCAGCCCAGCACTGCAAATTAAAGCAATGAAACAAATCTGAATACCTGGCTCCAAGGAAGTCACAAGCACTCTTCCCAGGTCTGGGCAAGAGGTACAAGGGGCGTTATCCCGCGGGAAGGAAGCTCGTCTCTGGCGTTTCCCTGCTTCATGTCCGTTGTCTCTCTCTTCTGCAGGCCACACTGAAAACTTCCAGGACGCTTTTGACAGACAGTCGCTTGTTTTGGATAAGCTGCCCCTGGCTTTTTATGCAGGCATGTTCGCATATTCAGGCTGGTAGGTGTGACGGGAGGGCACTTCATAGGCAGCAGACTGGTGTCTGAGACATGGCTCAAACTCTCTCCCTGTCTCTTCCCACCGTGCAGGTTTCAGACCAGCTTTGTGCGTGAAGAGTTGGTCAGACCTGAACGGTAAGGCTGGGAAGAAGTTCTCTTGGGTTACCAGCCTCTGGGGTACTGCGGCTTTCCCAAACGCAGTATGGGAGGAAATAATTTGTGGGTTCACCTAACCAATGCCAGCTGCAATCTGTAGTAATACTGTGCATAACAAGCGATAACAGCTTGTTCTTTGTGTGTCTCTCTTCCCCTTTCTTGCAGAAATATCCCCCTGGCTGTCATCGTGTCTGTGATCACGGTAATTGTGGGGTACATGCTCACCAACATCTCCTATTACACGGTCCTGGGAACACAAGATGTTCTGGCTTCTCCTGCTGTGGCTGTGGTGAGTTGCCAGCCCTACCGTTATCTTTCTTCAGTGTGGTCAGCTTATGCTGAAGGGGTGGTCATGGCAAGTGTTTCAGAGAAGGTTTTCCTATAAAATGCCTTATTGCTTTGTCATTTCTCTGGATTATTGGGCAACAGTAAATTCTTCTAGTCTTGCCTGAAAGGTTATGAAAAATAACCTGCAGATGACAGTAGAAAAGGCAAGATTTATGAGTTATATTTTACTCCTTTGGTGGAGGAAGGTTTCTTTCTTTTGAACCTGGTGTTGTCTAGAGATCACCACATGTTCCTAAAGTCACGCTTTCTCTCCTCCAGAGCTTTGTGCAGCGAGCCTTCAAAAGCCTGATCTCTGTGGTCCCTGTCCTTGTAGCACTGTCCTGCTTTGGAACCATGAATGGAGGAATCTTCACGTTTTCGAGGTCACGTCCCTAAGAATTTATTACTCTTTTGGCTTACTGAATCGGAGGGAAGCACCAGTGACCTGTGCAACTGCCCACTCACGTGATGGCATTTTAGCCACTCTTGTGGGAAAAATAAGGCCTTTGACTCCCAGGATGTCACCTACAGGATGATCCCTCTTGTCTATTTCTGGCCAGTCCAGACTTTGGTATCTAGGGCTGGTCACAAACAAAGATTTTTACCTTTCCCCCCCACCCTTCAGTTTAAATCCGCAGTTTAAAGTGAAATGTCAATGTTTCTGGTGAACTAGAGGCTTTGTTGACGTTGGCAGCTGCTCAGTGAGACCGGGTCTTCTTTTGCTGGGTTCACCCAGCTGCTCTGCTGCAGGGCACGGGGTCCCTCTGTTGCGAGGATCTCTGGCCAAAGGCAAACCCTCCCTCGAGGACTTTGCTTTGAGGTCAGTGAAATGTTATTGGGGACAGGCTATTCCTAAAGCAATAGTCAAGGCTCAACAAGTCTTGTTGTAGCAATAAGAAAAGCTTTGTTCCATGGAAAAATTATTTTGCCAGCTTCACTGGCTGCTACACTGTATGTCCTTATGGGAGCCTTGAAATTAGAGAGGAGGGCAGAACTCACGGAGAAGCACGTTGTGCTGGTCCCAAGGAGCTGAGCAAACTCTCTGGAGCCAGTTCTGTTTCACAGCTTTGATTGCAAAAGGAAAAATCAGTTCATATGAAAGGGATGTTTCATAGCATGAAAGCTCATGAGTTATTTGATCCACTACCCTGAAGTCCTGTATTAAATACAGGTGCAGAGAATCTGCCCTGTTAGCTCCTCTAGATAGTGGTTTTCTTTGAGGATGAGGAGTCCCTGGACAGCACAGAGGTTCTGCGTGTCCCTATCGCCTTTCTCTCCCCCATCCTGGCACCATTAACATTATCTCTGCAGAAGGGCCATATAAACAGTGATGGGGCCTCCCTGGCTGCTGGCCAACCACACCCCTGCAAAACCACAGAGACAGCGATAAAACCAGTTTTACACTCATGCCCCAGCTGCTTTGGGCCCTGCTCCAGCCCAGCTGATGCTCTGGCATGGTTTGTTTGTGGACATTAAATTTATAAAATTGGCTGCAATGCCTTCTCCTTAATTGCCCTTTCATGAGTCAAAGGCGGGATGGAGGCAAGGAGCTTTCTGCTGTTATGTGTGTAGCTGGCCTCTCGGCAGTACGCCAAAATATATTTTCCAACAGCTGGCCAGAGGATTGAAAATCCTCTATTATTTGAGGAAATTGCACTTGATTTTTAAGAAAAATATATATATTCACATATTTTTATATAAAAATATAGGCATCAAGACTGACAATCCCCTTTCATAAACTCACCAGCCTCTTTTATAAAGAATTGAAGTTTGTGACCCCTCCGCTTCCTACTGGAAAGATTAACCCCTTCTCTGATGGCAAGAAACTTTCATGCTTCTGTTTCCAGCCTGAACTCATTCATGGTCTCTTTGGACTTGCCCAAAGGTCTTTGCTAACAGGCCACCCAAGGGGATGCTGCCAGTGGTCCTGCTGGTGGGTTCTGCGCTGCGTTGAACTAACTGGTCCTGGGAGAGCTATGGGAATTTAACACTGTTTTTTTCTTCCAAATGCCCCAAAAGTGTAGCTAAAGGCAGAACTGTGGCCTTGAATAGCAGACCTGTGCTGGCAGGGGAGTGCCTTGTGGCCTCAGGTCAGTCCAGAGACTGATCTTCTCATTTCTAGTCTGGATGTGGGATGCTAATGCATGGGGCTCCCTGTCTTTTCCTAGGACTCTGTTTGTGGCTTCCAGGGAAGGACAGTGGCCTCCTCTGTTCTCCATGATCCACATTCGAAGGCATACACCCCTTCCCGCTGTCATGTTAATGGTAAGGAGATCTGGCTGTGTGACGTGCGTTGTTCTTGCAGTCTTGGCTTTCTTGCGAAGCCTGGAGAAGCTGAGGAGTTTTAAAGGGTGCTGAGACACTAAGTCAGCCTCCAAAAAATAAAAAAGGTGGAACACTGGAAATGGCGGCAAAGTATTGAGTCCCCTTGTGCCAGCAGTGGTATCCAAACCCACTACCTTGAAGTTCCTGCCTTATAACCTTGGACACCTTTTTAAAAAGTAGTGTCCCTACCATCTGCCACAGTTGCTGCTTGATATTGTCCTATGAAAACACCTCTGCCAGGCTTTGGCTATTTGAAAAACTGAAATTCCCAGGTGTGGTAGAAATGCAGGGAATGAGCATTTGCAGAGATGCTCTCAGTTTTGGTTTGCCTTTTTTTCCAGCAGTGGTCCAGCTCCATCCTAACTGTGCAGCAGTGCCTCTTGCAGCTTGGCTGACCTGCTAAAAACTTAGCAGGTACCTTTGTAGGTAACCTTTGTACGGGCAGCACAGGCTTCTGGATCATGTATGTTTTAATTGCCCTGCCTAGGACATAAAGCATCAAAGATGCTGTTGATCTTGAAAGGATTGCTCCTTTCTGTAGCACATCGTAATAGTGCGTTTAGGCCTTTTGCCTTCAGTTTGTGACACTGTTTTGTAAAGCGCTCTGACCTCTGAAATGTTGGGGCTGTGAAGCAGCTGCCTGTGATCGCAGGGGGGCTGGAGGCGGTGATCCATATTACCCTTTCTAGTCCGAGAACCGTAGTAAGGCTTTAATGACTGTGTTTCATCTTCACAATGCTCAGTTCCCTTTGGTTACTGCCATGGTGTGTATCGGAGATATCTACCATCTAATGAACTTCTTCAGCTTTTCCCGATGGCTCTTCATAGGATTAGCCACCCTTGGGCTCATTGTCCATCGCCACCGTCACCCGGAGCTGCACAGCCCGTTCAAGGTAACACATGGCCTGTATCTAACAGCCAGGAACACGCAGGCTTGTCACTTCTCTCTCTTATTTGCTAATAATTAGAGCATGACATGGCCATGATTGCCTTTAGGCTCTAAGGGCTCTCGATCCCTATTGCTTGGTAAGGCATGTAGGGAGCCTGCAAGAAGGCACTCTTGCCTGGATGTTATTTCAGTGGTAGGTAAGTCTCAGGTCAAGCTGAGAAGCAGAAGGGCATCAGGCTTGGGGGAAAAGAGCATGGCTGGAGGGACACTGGGAGCAAACCTGACTTAGGAGAATTATCTCCTGGCATAAATATATTGTATAGTGTAAAGACGCTTGTGTGCAAATATTGCTGCTGCAGGCACTGAGGATGTGCACAGCATGTGCATGCATACCACAAAGTGTTTTGTTCAGCAGTCAGCTAGCAGCAGCTAATGGCCGATGCAGTGTGTGGCCCTGTAGAGAAGGTCCTGCCCTCCTGCCCCAGGCAGAGGGAGGCGAGCGGCTTTGTGAGCTTCCAGCCGTGTGTGACCTTTGTGGGCTGCCTGTTGTACCAGGAGCCCAGGCGGCCGGTGGGGTTTGAGGAGCTGCCTGACACAGGCAGTGTCCAGACTTCTCCCATGCTGGTTTCCAACCAGTGCTGCTGGTGCACCCCTTGTTTTTCTGGTTGCTGGTGGGACAAGTTTGCAGGCGAGTGCAGGATTTACTGCGCAGGCACCGCCCTGTGTGTGCACCTGCAAAGCTCCGGCACATTCGGGCTGGGGACCATAAGCAGTGAGAGGCATTAAAAATGGGCAAAGGGAAGGAGGGAAGCAAGGGAATTCAATTCCCCCTCCTCAATGGGAAGTTGGAGGATGCTTTGTCCTCTTGTGCCTTTCCTTAGCCTCCAGCTGGGCCCCTCCAGTGGCTATGTGCTGGGTGCTGTGATCCTGCTCATGGGGAGCAGTCGGTCCCCTCACATCCAAGCTGGAGTTGGTGCTGGAGCAGCTTTCTTGCACTCGGGTCACCTTTCCCACTGCCAGGTAATGTGCAGAAGATGTTTGGCTGGGGCGGTGCTGGAGGCGTGCACAGTTTGTTCCTCTCTCCGGTCGTGTCTGCACGGTGCTGCCAGCCAGCTCCTGGGGAGGCGAGGAGACCTCCAAGGCCACAGGGACCGGGCAGGCGATCAGCAACAAGCTCAGGGGACAGAAATGCTTCCCGCAGCTCCCAGGGCTCCTCCCCGAGCCACGCAAGGCCTGATGCGAAGTTTGGGGTGATTTGTCTTCTCAGTCTTTTCTGGAGACAGCGTGTTTAGCAGAGACCTTAAAGCTTCCCAGTTTGTTGGCTGGCTGCACTCGTGTACCCACCCAGAACCAGACTTTAAATAAGTTTTGTTGTCTTCTTTTAAACCACACTTCTCAGGGGAAGTTTATTAGTGGATAGCACTGGTAATGTTTTTGGCTGCTGAGATTTTACCCCATTTTGGTTTAGACAGAGATTTAGGCTTTTTAACGGTTCCTAAAGGCAGATTAAGTGAGGGAGCGAAATTCTGGGGGTTTGTTCAGTTTGGTTGATTTTTTTTTTCCTCCCTTCTCCCTAGTTTTTATAACCACTTCAGACTCGAAGCCCAGTTATCTGCAAGAGAGAAGGGCTGCACGCAGGTGGTGTGGGCATGTGCTGCACTCTAGTGGCCACAGCCAGGTCGTCTTCTCCCGCTAGCTTGTGGAGAGCAAATCATAAAATAGATGGGATTGTGCTGGTACTTCTCCCCTATAGCATTTTGAGTTAAAATTGGTGAGAAAACACCGGTAAGAGGAGGAAGCAGTCCTCTCACATACCTCTCGAGCAGATGTGCAGCGTGAGTGCGTGCAGATAGGAGAGGCTGGCAGGGGATGCTCTGGCTGGAAAGACAGCAAGAGCACGTAAGTTTGGTGGCTGGATGGCTGCCATCACTAGAGCAACTGATGTCTTCCAGCTCAGCATGATCAGTATCCAAAATAAGATCTCTGTTACTGGAAAAGAGATTGTGATCCTAGGTGAGACCAGCAGCTCCTTCATTCTATCAGCTATGGCAAGGAGTAACTTGGCTGAGGTTGAATCCAAAGACTAAGGGAATGTTTCACAGGTTTATTATTTATTGCAGTCTTCCAATTTACTCTCCAAATAACCCAGATGAATTGGCTCATCCAACAGGGTAAGGCTGAAGTGCTGACTGCTTCTTTGGTCTTTCATCAGGGTGTCATTGAAACTCATGTTCTTGATGCAGGTGCTACGGAAATAGGGAGCCTGGTTTATCCTGTTTTGGCCACTGTAAGTCTCAGGCAAGCTGGAAGCAGGTCAAAATGTTATAACCAAAGAACAGTTTGTTTCAAAGCACTGCTTCTACTCTTGGCTTCAGATTTTCCACCAGCGATTGCCACAGGTGGCAAATAGGTACGTGTGCGTGTGCATGCACAGGTGCAATACATTCGGAGAGCAGTGGGGTATAGGTGACTTCTCCCCCTGCTTGGCTTGCCGTTGCGAGTGAGGTGAGGCTTATATTAGGAAGGAGGTATGCACCTCACAGGGCACACTGGGCTCCAAGGGTGGTACGAGTCAATTTTTATTCTATGCATCCTACTTGTTCACAACTGATTGTACAGAAACAGTGTGCAGGACAGATATGATTTTTCTCATCTTCTTTGAGATGGAGAAGTGAATACGGTGTGTGCTGGCACGTATGGAGGCTGATTTGCTACAGCCATCAGTTTTGCCTGAGAGAATCGTCTGTGCTCTTTTCCCCAGGTTCCCCTGGTCGTTCCTGTCTCTTTTACCATCATCTGCCTCTTCACTGTGGCAATGTCTTTCTACTCAGACCCTGTGAACATTAGCATCGGATGCACCATGGTTTTAAGTGGTTTTCCAGTCTACTACCTCATAATCCATAGGCAAATGTCAAGTCGCTGCCGTAGCCCATTTTGTAAGTATGTGTTTGAGTTTCAGTATTGTGAACCTTAACACGCTCAGGGATGGGGATGTTAGTTTGTTCCCAGGGCTCATCTCTAATGGAGCAAATTGCTCCATGACCCACAGACCTCATGAAACCTAAATCATGACCCCTGCCACCCCTTCAATGGCTTTCCCAAGACGCAGCCTCCGCAGCCGAAGAGACGAGGGGTAGGCTGTGCTGCGGGTGGTTGGCAGCCGGGCACGGGCTGTGTCTGCCTGGCTTGTGAATGTACTGATAAGCCAGCCTCGTGCTTGGGTTTAGAAAAGACAGGGCTGAGGTCTACCAATGGGAGGAACCAAGAGGGTTGCTTTCACTACCCAACCCTGGTTTCTACTAAACTTTATCAGACCTTCGGGATCACTGCCTCTCAGTCAAATTTGGCTGACACTGAGCAACAAGATCAAAAGTTAGGATGGAGGGACTGACTGGCAGACACTGTAACCCTGTGCACAAGTGCACTTGCTGAAAGGCTGGGGAGAGGACTGGTAGGAGAAGATGGTGCCATCTGCGGGCTACCTGTTTGGTGAAGAGGCCAGAATGGTTCTGGGCACAGATGTGGGTGTGTAAATGAAATACGTCTCCACCCCATATAATGTCTAGTACAGATTTCCTTTGCGAGTAGCCCTGGTGGCACAATGATTTACTCAGAAACAAGAGCCCAGTTTTGAGTTTAATTTATAATTTCAGTTATGAATCTTGTTTTCTTTTGATTTGATGTTGGGCCGAGGTGTATCAGTAACCAGTGAACAGAAGAAAACATACAGCAAGAAAGGAAACAGCTACAGTGATATGCTAACACAAAGTGCTCCAGCCATCAGTGCTGATGCTCTGATTTTCAGCCATGTCTCAAGATTTCCTCCGAACTAAACTTCCTTTTTATCCCCCTTTCAGATTATCTTACACACAAACTACAGTTACTGCTGGAAGTAGTCCAACAAGAAATCAAGACGTACTGAGAAAACCATCAGAACTTACAGGAGAAGATAAAATCTACTTATTCCGTTTCCAATACCTTTGATCTTACCAAAAGCAGGTCATGCTCTTATTCTTTTAATCACTGCAAATGAGGATGAGCCTGAGCCAAAACCTTGCTGCAAGTGTTCCTAAGCTTGCCAGTTGGGATTGGGATGAGCGTGTCACATCTCCTTCTGCCCTTTTCTTTTTTAGCAGAACAACCTAGTTCTCTGAAATGAGCTTGCTTTACCTGCAGAGTGTCTTTGAAACCAAGATCCTAATTTTGCAGCCTAGCCCAGTCCTCAGTAAAATCGTGTGTGTATATACACACACACTATTTTTTACTTTTGTAACTTGGCAAATAGAGAAAGGGAGCATGTTGCAGAACTTAGTCCGATACATGGAAGCCAAATGTGGGTTTCAAACTGAAGCATTGTAGTAGCCACGCTGGGGACAAGCATTATGGAAATGGATGGGGAGAGCAAATTAGAAATAAGGTAGATGAATTGGAAAGGAGGAGGTGGGGGGATAAAACTTCATTTACCAGAAAGTGCAGATTCAGGTTAATGAGAAGATATTTGAAACCCCTTTGAAATTCAAATATTAACAAAGTAAGCTCAGAATGTTTTGCTTTGATTATTGTATAAGCAGAATAAGTTTATTTTGCTTTGAAATAATGTTTCCATTTCTAATTGTATTTTTCTACAATGACATTTCAAAATGTACAAACACATAAAAAAAAAATCAGCTAAATATCCACAAGAATATGACAAAATAGATCCTGATCCCTGCCCCAACTCCCCAGCCCCGCTCCCCACCTGGTGCTACCAGTGAAGTTGAAAATTCAGATTTTGGCCCAACTCCAGTGGAATACAATTTGGTTAGACAAAACGACGGATGAGACTTGGGCAGATTCCTTAATAAGTGCATCTTTTGGTGCTGTAAGAAGACATGAAAGACTTCATGTCAGAGCTTTAACTTTAAATCTGCAGTTGAACGACTTGCTGAATCGATACATAAATGCTCATTTGAAGTATTGACGTAAGAAAGGTTTCCGTTATTGGATTACTTTGATTTACATTATTAATGTGGCAACGTTATGTCCAGATAAAATGGCAATTAGCTATTTCCAATCACTTAATTGTTAATCTTTTCCTAAAAGATGGGAAGTAGTATGCTGAGACTCCCCTAATGACCACTGGAAAGAGGAAGAACAGAACGTGGAGCATTTTTAATCTTTTGTATCAAGCATTTACGTACTTCAAGTACCAAAATAGCCTTTACAAAACCAATGTAATCTACCAAAACATGTAAAATTCACGATCAAGATTTGGAAATAAATAAGTGTGGGTTTTTTTCCAAAGCAATTGAGAATTATTATTCTTGTTATGACTGCTTTCTGTTCCTGTGCTAAATTAAGCTGGGAGAGCAGCAGCGTGGTTACAGGGCTTGTTTCCCCCCTCCCCATTCCTGCAGTTTAATTTACAAGCTGCTGGACGTTGTCCAACAGGAAATCCAGTCTCACTGGGAAAACCATCACAACCTACAGGAGAAGGTACCGGCTTTAAATGACAGTGTAGTTTCAGGCGAGATCTGGAAACGTTTCCAGGCTCCCAGGCATGGGTCAGTCCGCCCTCGTGTCGAGCTTTGCTGAAGTTGAACCCCCCTGCACACCTTCCTGCAGCACCCCGTGGCCAGGCCCTGGTGTGGGTGGCTGGGGAACCAACCTGCAGAAGACGTTGCAGAACCAGGTGAGTCCCATCACCCCAACACAGCCTGAGTCCAGCCCCTTATGTACTGGTTTGGGCGATTTTCCACATCTTGAGGTAGAAGCATGAGGCGCTGCCAGCCTGGTCCCGTGCTGCAGGAACCCTGTAAGCACAGTGTGCCCACGCCATAGCAGCAGTACTCACGCACCAAACCTCGGAGTGGTCTGAAATTGCAACAGAGCTGCTGTGTGTCTGCAGATAGACATACAGAAAGGAGGAAACATCACTTTTTTCATCCATTTCCTCTGAAGAGAAAAAGGGAACAAGAATTGAAATTCCTGGGGGGAAAATAGGTAATCCTACCTGCTGGACCATGGTTTCTTTATACACGATAAATCATTTGACATATGCAGGGAAACCACACTTGGATGCCTCTGCTGACTGTGAAGGAATATGATCTTGCAGGGCTATATATAGAATGTCTGCTCCAAGACCTGTCAGATACTGGAAATGCAGACAGGTATAGTACCATGGTTACATTGACTGTTAGAAATCAGAGGTTCGACAGCTCCACGGATGACATTGCAATTAAAAGTGATAAAAATGAAAAATATGATGTTCAGAAGGTATCAGTTTACACTGAGCTCAAGTTTCCAGTTTGTGGCGAGTTGTTTGTTTTTAGAGAGGATGGCATGCTCCTCCCAGCAAAGCTACGTAAACATTTTCTACCAAGCCAGAATGTTTTTCCTAGAGCTGATATCTCTTGCCTACTGAAGCTCTTGGCTTCAGTTCAGAAGAGTATTTTACTAGAGAATTCACATATGCAAAAATGAACCTGTGGGACCCGGTCCTATAAAGTTCCTCAGTCAAAGGGAAGCATAAAAGTTGTGCAACTGTGGAGATAAGGGCCAAATACTATATGGGAGGTCAAAAGCCAGTCAAGAAAGGCCAGCCAGGGAAGAAACAAAGTTCAACTTCATAATCACATTTGTGGTGTTTTGTTGTTTTATTTTTAAATACTGTGTCTATAAAATGCACTCAGAGTGCAGCCTTTCCAGAAACAAAAACAGAGATTTATGTGTTTCAGTCACTACTGATCTGGTCTGACTAGATCATCAGGAAATAAAAATGTTCTGGGCAATTCAACCGAACATAATTTGTGTAAGAAAAACAACAACAAAAAAATGTTTACATCTGAACCAGTTTATGTGGTTAGTACTACTTGACCTGTCATTAAACTTTATGCTTCAGAGCTCTGCTGGGAAACGCTGTCAGCCTTTTAGACTGAAAGGCTGGAGGTCAGATTGGAAGCCTCTTAACCCTTCTCTGATTTTCACCAGGAAAAACAGAGTGGAGGCTCAGACTCCAAGGTAAAGGAACAGAAATACTCTGGATAGCAGAGAGCTCTGCGTGGGCTGCCTGAGCCTGCCCCACAGGGCTCTCTGCTTGGTTTGCACTGGTTTGGGTCGCTCCGTGCAGTGCTGCGTACTGCAACCCCCCCGAATGATGCGACAACGAACACGGAGCGCGTGTTGAGAGATGCACCCGCTTTCTGCATTGAGATTTGGGGTTCGCTTTGCAAGGCAACGCCAGCTTTTGGCTTTCAAAGAACATGTTCAGCAGAAGCTGCTCCCAGCAGGAA